ATTTTCCTATATGATCACTCACATTGCAAGTGCAGGTCTGTAGATACCTAGTATTGTATTAATAGAGGGTCTGATGAGGAATAAAAATCAAGATGCCAGTTAATATCTAGGAAATTAAACTTGTATGCTGTGATGTGTGCTTATCTTCACCACTGATTAGGCTCTCTACAGTTGTCAATACCAATACCACAATAAACTAGATTGTTCTCCATGAGATTTATACCACGAGATAAACAATGCAGGACATTGACACTGCATTTTTTGGAATGGATAGTACTATTCTGCCAGCCAGGGAGTCCAATTCACCTCTGACTTACACCTTTATAACTCCACTGAAAGTGGAGCCACTCCTGATTTATACTGACCTAAGGGCTTGTCTACTTGGACACCGTTTCAAAATGGGGTAGATCAAAGTGCACTTCAGAACTGTTAGTTCACAACAGCAGGGTACATTGGACACTTAGCATGCGGCAGGCCAATGTGGGGTAATTTTACATCCCAGCCTGCCACAAACTAGTGTGGATAAGCCCTAAGTGAAGGGAGAATCAGGCTCAGAGTCTGGACAATCCAGTAACGCTACATGTTGTTCAGGGAGGAAGGATGAACAAAATGCATAAATGGAGTACAAATAATGGCAGGAAGGTGTGGAACTGGCTTGTTACTTCCCCAAAAATCTACTGATTCATAAGTAACAAAGTTTGTGTTTTCTCAAGTGGCTGGCTGACATGAGTGATAGATGGGATAGCAGATACAGTATTTTGTGAAATCAGACAACAGTCTACAATGATGGTGAAAACAGCCTTTGTCACTTTGAAATGCTGGCCGCTTCACCTCCATGCCTAGACAGCTAATTCTGTGCTTACAGAGAATGAAGTGTCCTCACCATGCTAAATTAAATTAAAAAGAGGCAATCTGATAAGGTAAATACATATTAATCATCCTCTCAAAGTACTATCTAGCTTTTTCATCTTTATTTCATTATTTTCATCTAGTTCTCTGAAATTCCTTCCAGAAAGGATCTGTTTACACTGAAAAGTTCAAATTATTCATCTCATACACAACGCTGGCACTTTTCCCCTGTTGTTCTTTAGCTCTTCTCTGAAGCATTCTTCTCACTTACATAGCCACAACTGACGAACCATGAAAAAATGCTTTTATCTGATGAACCGTTGCTCTTAGCAGCAGGAAGGTGAGAAGAGAAGGGAAAGAATGCTTTTCTTCTCATAAATTTGAAATAATTTCTCACTCTT